GGTCGGGGGGCCGGGCGCCCTGGGCGGGGGCTGTGGGGGCTGCGGACGGTGAGCGGTCGGGGGGCCGGGCGCCCTGGGCGGGGCTGTGGATGATGAATAGTCGGGCACCCTGGCCGGGGCTGCAGATGACCAAGTGGTGGGGAGGCTGGGCACCCTGAGTAGAGACTGGGTAGTGAATTATCAGGCATCCTGGGTGTGGACTGCAGGCAGCGGTCTACAGGCCGGGCACCCTGGCTGGGGTCTGCAGATGGTGAGCGGTCAGGAGGCCAAGAACCTGGGTGGGGGCCGTGGATGGGGAGCAGTCAGGACGTTGGGCACCCCGGGTGAGGCCCGAAGACAGTGAGCTGTTGGGAAGCCAGGCCCCATGAGTGGGGGCTGTGGACAGGAAGCGGTCAGGAGGTCAGGGACCAGGGACCCACCAAGTCACCCGGGGGCTCGGTGTCATTAGGACCCGTGGACGAGTACATGCTACCCTTCGAGGAAGAGATTGGCCAGCACCCCTCACTGGAGGAGCTGCAGGAGGTGGTCGTGCACAAGAAGATGCGGCCCACCATCAAGGATCACTGGCTGAAGCATCCGGTGAGGACCCTGGGCTGGACTAGAAAAGGGCATGGGGCAGACAGGAGGGCCGGGCAGCAGGACCACCCCGTCCCCTCCACCGTGGACAGTCCTGGGGAGGCTCCGTGCCCTGCTGGGAGTGGTTTGAATTTGGTTCCAGGAGTGATAGTGACTGTCCTCTCTGTCAGAGCCCAGGCTCTGCCCTTGTGCGGCTCACCTGTGTGGCTCCTCACCTGTCACCCCTGCAGTAAGCACTTCTGAGTCTGAGACATCTGGGTTTCATTCTAGATCTGCCTTTTAGTAGCTCAGTACCCAAAGTCGAGCAGCTTCGGACAAGTTGCGTTATCTCTTTGCATGTAACGAATGCTGTAATAAGTCCGAGGGGGATCTTTGTAAACTCTCGGCAGGATATTGATCCTGTAAATGCCCACATGTGGTAACTGGTTAAGTGTCCCTGGCTCTCCATCTGGGTAAGCCCTGTGGCCTGGACTCCTCCAATCAAAGGTGGCTGTACCGAAGACCCCGGGGAATCCTGTCCTGCCCTACAAGAGTATTTGCCTTCTGTTCTCCAGAAGACTTTTCCCTGCCCTCCCTAGGGCTAATTCAGAGCAAGAAAGACTCAGACCAGTATGGGTGGGTTCCACAGCCAGCCTACTCGCTAAGACCAGGGCTGTAAGTGGGTAAACCGAGACCCTCACTGGAGCCGCGGCACCACTGCCTGTCCCAGTCTCCTAGTTGGGGTTCCTAGGCAGGTGGTCCCACTCCCTGCAGAGGAACCCAAAGCCCTGCGAAGTCCAGGTGTAGCCTGGCACCACGCCTTGCACACGGGCTCTGTGCCACCTGGATGTCTATCCCAGCACCATCAGGGTGGTTCTGGTGCCCTGCACTTGGCTCTAGCCCCAAGAGTCGTGGCTCAGTGACACTGTCACAAAGGCTGTGGACAGTCAAGTAGTATGTGTTTCTCCTGGTCCTCCTGTGCCTGGCACCCAGGTTCTGGGGCCCATTTCACGGCCCAGGAGGGGTTATGTTTTCCCTTCTATCAGGAGCTCAGGTGAGTCAGTGGTTGGGGCTGCGGAGTGACGTGAGTGGACCCAGGATGGTGACTACAGATCTGAATCCCTCCTGTTCTCTCAGCCCTTCTTAATTCCCTGGGATCCATTGAGCCGGGGGTGGGGGAGGTGGGGGGGCGTCGTCAAACTCACCCTCTCCCTCAGTCTGTCCTCACTGAAGAACCGGAACCTTTCCCGCCTGCCCACCTGCAGGGCCTGGCCCAGCTCTGTGTGACCATTGAGGAGTGCTGGGACCACGATGCGGAGGCACGCCTGTCCGCCGGCTGCGTGGAGGAGCGGGTGTCCCTGATCCGGAGGTCGGTCAACGGCACTACCTCGGACTGTCTCGTCTCCCTGGTGACGTCGGTCACCAACGTGGACCTGCCCCCGAAAGAGTCGAGCATCTAAGCCCCGAGACGCGTGTGTCTCTCCAGACTCAGTGGATCTGAAGAGGAAAAGAGGAAAAAACAAAAATTGTGTTTTGTTTTCGAAATCCACATACAACCAACAAACACGTAAAATGCAGCTGCTATTTTACCTTGACTTTTTATTATTATTATAATTATTATAATATTATTATTAATATTATTTTTTGGATTGCATCAGTTTTTACCAGCACATTGCTCTACTGTATCAGAAGCAGCGGACACGTCGGTGGGCGTTGCGATGCTGAGCTGTGATGAGTGGAACCAGCACCTCCTGCCACCTCCTGTCCCCGTGGGGTTTCTTCCCTCCCGCACACGCCCTCTCTGTTGTCTCAGAATCTGTGACACAAACCCGTCTTCTGTCTTGGGAAACTTAATGCTGCAAACTCTACCTGGAGGAACCTTCGAGAACTGTTACCTGAGAACACACCTTCCTTGGAACGGCCCTGTCCCGTCACACACCTCACTCTGGTCCCCACCTCTCATTTTGGTTTTCTCCCTTTTTTGACTGCGAGCTTAAGAAACAGCAGATATGTCTTTCACGGATGTAACGGGTGTTGTCCTGACCAAGGGAGAAACTGGGCTGACAAGGATACTGATGGTGATTTGGCCTGGAGCGAGGGTGGGGGGCGGTTTGGGACAGAGCCACCTGGATGCAGGCGTGCGCGTTGTTGGATGCAGGCGTGCGCGTTGTTGGAGCAGCATCCTTTGCTATGGAGGCTACTTCTCAGGTAACCCGGGGTCGCGGGCAGGGGCCTTGTGACGGCCAACCGTTAACCACCAGAGCGGGGTTTGGAGAATTCTAGAAGCTGGCGCATCTCAGACCCACCTGCTGGTCCTGGCTAGCTTTTCCCACTAACTTGTGCTCAGGCACAGACGAGAATATCTTTTCTGCCCTGACTTGAAGGTTAGGTGAGGGCAGAGATCACCACAACGTAACGAGTACGTTCTTCTTAAGACATGATGCTGTAAATATCTATGGAGGCAAAGTTGCAAGCCTTCGCTTCCTCCTGGAGCAGTTCAGGGAAATGCCCACAGGGTAGCACCCTGGCGCTGGGGCAGGTGGGCTTCCCAGGTCGGGCCGGTCGTGGGCTGCGGCTGGCTGCACCCCTCCTGTGACACCACCCCTTTACGTGGCTCATGGGCACAGCTTTCTCCAGACCCCTCAAAGTGGTGCATATTCTAAAAACCGTTTTTCTATTACGCCATAACCTTGCTCTAGTCAGTGAATGTCCCTAATGCTGCTGTTTCAACGTTTTATTTTTTTCCCTTAATTTATGAAACATGCAAATTTTTTTTGTAATAAAAGACAGAACACACGCATCCACATCCACACACACGCTCTGCAAATGTGGCTTCCGAGGTTTAAAGTTTGAAAAGTCAAAGAATTAAAACTTCACGACCACAGACCACCTCAAACCAGAAATACCTCAGAATTTTCTACTTGTGTAAGTTTTATTATATATTTTGTTAGTTGTGTTGTCTTGTAGTAAGTATATTTTAATGTAAGTTGGCTTTTATGAAGAGAGTTTAAAAGAAATAGAAAAAAAGAGGGAAAAAAAACCACAAAAAAACAACCCAACCTTTGAAGAGTCTGTAGTGGAGTGTCCCGTTTCTGTTTGATAACGCTTCTTGTAAATACTCATCATCCACTGTAGGCTGGCCGCCTGGGCCGAGTCAGGGCATTTGTTACTCCTGTTTGTGAAGGCCTTTCCTTCTGGTATCTTTAGACCATTTTATTTTAAATCCATACATCTTTTTTAGCTTGAGGGTCAGTGGGTTGGTGGGTGAGGGGAGAGGTCAGCTTCAGTGAGAGGCGAGCTGGGCAAGGGACACCACCTCCTCTTAGGTCACTTGGAGGGTCAGGTGTTCCCACAGCCTAACTGGTCACTGTGCACAATAACAAGTAACCTTGCTTTCCCTTGATTTCAGCTGTGGCCCTTAAACCCACATGAGGTAATTCTACCTGAGATTGGGCCTTCTAGAGCACATGGGACAGAGTTTGCTGCAGAGTCTTCGTGAATCCACACTGTGACTTGGGGGCAGGCGGTCAGCAGGTTCGCGTGCCTGCCATAGCGTGATCACACCTTTCCCAGACTTGGGAGTTTGTCCCGTCCTCCATCTGAGAGGCCGGCTGCTCCCCACACAGCACCCCACACGTGGCTGTGGGCACAGGTCCTGTGGACGAGTGTATGTCTCCTCTCAGGGCTCTGTCTCTCTGGGTAAAATGTGATGTGGGCTGGGTACAGGGTCAGGCTTTCTGTTTTGGTAAACTGTGTTGTCTCTCTCTTATTTTAAGCTATTTAATCTTGTGCTGTGGTGTGGTTTGGGTTTTTTTTCCCCCCCTTCCTCCCTCAGAATAATTTTAACAGCAAAACAGGCCTTACAGCAGTTGCTTCTGTTTCCACTGATTTCTTTAAGAAGCTTTAAGATATTTATTGAAAAGTGCCATATCTAATTTCTTTAGCTTTCTCCTCCTCAGGCAGTACCGGACCCCTCTGCTTTTCAGCCTGGGCGGGATCAGGACCCACTGACAGGTGTCCTTAACCCACTGCAGGAGTGGGCAGGCCGCTGCTCCTGCCCGGTGCTGGACACGCCACGCTCCTGTTCAGTGACACACGTCCTGTGGGTGACGGTTCTCGGCTCTCCTGACTCCATGGTAACAGGCCGTGGCAGGGTTAAGCTGTGTCCCTGGGCTGGGACCTGGTCTCAGTGCAGGCGAGGCAGGCCTTCCTCTTGGGCCTCAGGTCTCATTTCTCTGTAGGCTCACTCTTGGCCGGCCCTGTGCTCAGCTGGCACAGCATCCCTTTGGGGCCTTGGCACCAGAGTGACGCATCACAGGATGGTAGCTGTTTGGGGTGGTGGGGAGGAGGGGGCGAGCTCAGGGGGTCCCGTGCAGCTGTCAGGCAGTCCATCTGCTAATGGCTAACAGCGGGTGAGCTCGGGCACAGCTCTGGGGTGCAGGGAGCTTCCCTCTCGGATAACGTGTATTTGCCGCCATACGCTCTGGCTTGACCTGCTAAAGCGCTGACCTGATGCATTGATTTTGAGGGGCTCTGCGCTCTTCGCTACAGAAATCTGCACTGTCCATCTCCAGGGAGTTCAGGTAACTGCGGTCTTTCGGGATTTCTTGTCCCCAGCTTTGTAGAAGACTTCCAGGAGTGGGACCTGGCACCACTTCTCTGCCAGTGGGAAAGGTGGTCCCTCTGAAGAGAGAAGGGGCTCATTTGGGGCAGACAAGTGGGCCAAGGGTCCTTGCTTCTTCCTACCTGCTTGACCATCATCTGTGCAGCTCCTGGCTGTCGGGGTGCCCTTGGGGGAGCCTGGGGCTGGAGAGCCTCCATTTCTTTGTTCTGTTTGCAAACATCCGTTACCACTTCAGGAGACCATCTCTAGTGGGAGAAATCTAGACGTGAACAGGAATAGGCCGATTCAAGAGGGGACAAAGGTCAACATGCATGGTGTCCTAAGGCTCTGATGACAGGAGGCCGAGGAAGACCAGGCACATAGGCATCGACAGCATCCTGGCCTGGGTCTTCTGCTGACCATTGGTCCCTGGCAGGAGACCTTTGAATGGTCTCCAGAGGAGACAAGAGCTGCAGATGGGTTGTTTGGAGAAAGGAGGTTGTGGCTTTGAGGGAGAAAGACACATCATCGCTCTTTTTAGTCCGGAACAGCCTTCGGGTCCCATTTACTCGGGTTGGGCGTGTCATGCCTGTCTGGGGAGGGTATCCCTGTGTGTACCGGTACTGGTCTCATTAGAGGACAGTGTTTCTCATCTCCAGGCCATTAAGATCATTCTTCCATTGCCCCAGCAATCTTGTAGTGCTGGGTGCTTTAAAAGTAAAGGGATGCATGCAGCCCTGTTATTTGGTCTTGCTTCCTGCCGCCCTGCCTCTCCGCACGGTATGGTCAGGCCGTACAAGGTGGTAGGCCCTGTTCTGCATTGAATGTCCACCTCGTGCCGCACGTGGCTCAGAACCTTCACCATGTGGCCCCTCTGCTCTGGCATCTGAGGCCAGGTAAGCGGCAGCCCCGTCCAGAGGAGGGGGGCCGCATGGCCATTTTACAAACAGGATTTTTTTTTCCTCTTGACTCATTTGTGTTGTGACGTCCCCAGTACTAACGGGTCATCCAAGCATTTGATGTGTTAAAATTAGATGGTAAGCTTAGGTATGTGGGTTTTTAGAGTTGGTACTAGAAGTTGAAAAGCCAGACATTCCCGAGAGCCTGACTTCACTAGAAAAGCATCTTACTGGAAAGCAGATTTCCATGAGCTGACTAAGATTGGTCTCGAGTGCTGGTGGTTTCAGCCTGTGGGGCACATTTTTCCCTTGATGATTCGCTCTGGAGAGATGACCAGGTTCACGTTGCAAGGATCCTAGACCTTACCTTTCCAGGAAACGCCAGGAATGCGCTCCCTTCCCCACACCCCTCTGGGTGAGCACCCAAGAGAGGTGGCGAAAGTGGCTTTTCTCCTTTGGTCAGTGACTATCTGCAAAAACTCTGAACCAATCAAATAACAGCTGATGTGTTGAAACTAGTAATTGAAGCTCTGCTCCGCGATACTGCATTAGTTGAAGAAGTAGGTCCAGTAAATGAGTTCATGAACTCCATACGCTTCTTGGTCTAGGCTTGAAAATGTTTCGCAAATTCAGGGTTGTAAACATAGTTCTTCAAGTAAGGTTATTGGTAGTTGATTTGTAACCAGCAATCCACCTATGAATGTATCCCAAACCTTTAGGAGGCTTGGAAAAGTTGTTTTTTTCTTGTTTTATTTTATTTTTGAGATGATGATTTATTTCTTTAGGTAAAAGAAAACAGGTTTCAAAAACACATCTTTGGAAATTCATTCATTTGACTCAGCCACGTTTTCTAACAGATCTGAATATTCAAGAGGCCCACAGACCTCTCAACAAAATAAAGTCCAGGTTGCCCAGTGGGATATTTTGAATATTATACCCATTTTGGGTTTTAAGTCAG